TTCTATGAGAGAGGCATAATGGAATTACCTTCAAAATGGCAACAAGTTATCGAACAAAACGGTGCATATTTGACCTAAATCGGATCATTCTAACTATGCTAAATAAAGCCTTCAATTTCATGCAAAAATAATGGATTTCTTTTTACTACACCTTATATTATCCTATTTTTCTTCTAAGCATGGATAGTAAGCAGAGAAATGCATTAAGATTTGATAAGATGTGGGAAGAAATCTTTTTTGCAGACATTTATAATAAAACCACTTGTCTTCTGTGTGGTTATCAACCATCTATTGTTAAAAAATATTTTCCTCACAGACATTATAATATTAAACATTCCAAAGAGTATTCACAATATGTAGACGAGGAGAAAAACAATTTAATTGAAGGATTAAAATTAATTTATCAAGAAGGTAGTAGTTCGACTTCTATCGATAATGCTATATCTTCAAGAAAAGCTCTCACCGCATCGTATGCTATATCGAATCTAATTGCAAAACATTCCAAGCCGTTCACTGAAGGGACATTTATAAAAGATTGCCTCATCGCAGCGATAGAATTATTTGGAAATTCGATAACTCTTGAAGAAGCTGTTAGCAATCCACTAAGTGATAAAACTATAAAAACTCGAATTGATGATATTGCTTCTTGTTTACAAGAAAAATTAAAATCTTTATTAGCATCTTGCATCTATTTCTCATTGTGTCTTGACGAGAGCACCGACAGTCGGCATGTGAGTCAATTGAGCATTTTTGCTCGAATCGTACAAAACGATTTTTCATATGCCGAGGAACTCTTGGATTTCGTGCCATTACATGGTACAACAACGGGCGCAGATATTTTTCAAGCTGTAAGTCAAACTTTGGACAAGTTCGATATTAATTTCTCTAAATGTTCTTCTGTGGTAACTGATGGTGCAAAGGCAATGGTAGGCACGAAAAACGGATTCTTCGGTCAATTAAAGCGAAATTTAAAATTTCCCGTAATTTATTGCATAATTCATCAAGAACCGTTATGTGGGAAAGCTGTTAAACTATGTACAGCAATGCGAACAGTAACAAAGATTATTAACCAAATTAAAGGTGGTCAAAAATTTCTTTCTCATCGAAAGTTTCAACACTTTCTCGAAGAGCATAACACAACGTATACAGATGTACCTTTGTATTGTGAAGTCCGGTGGCTTAGTGTAGGAAAATGTCTTCAAAAGTTTTTTGCAATAAGAAAAGAGATATTTCTTTTCTTGCAAGAACAATTACCTGCAAAATATGAAGAA